CCAGCGAACACATCCACAATGTAAGCTCTCTTAGAAGACAGCGTTTCCCACTTGCGGGAAGACGCCATGAACATTATACACACACATACACGTACGTACGAACATTCACCAAAGAACAAGCACAAATGTTCACACACGCAAATGTTAATGTTTTTGTCCATTGTAAAATTGTGTTGTTTAATACATATATTTTTTGGTATATATATATCGGTCTCGTTTGTTTGTTTTCTTTTCATCTTCGGTTGGACAAATTAAGTCCGCCATGTTCTTGTAGTTGGACCTTCTTCTAGCAGGAAAAAAAAAACGTTCATGTCCCTAATAACAACACGCAAACCCATTCGGTCCACTACATCTTAGTAAATGGTGACAATGAAGATTTTGATACTTATGCAGGAGTAATGAACCAGGAATGTGAGAAATTCAAATTGAATGAATTAACACCGGATTTATTCAAATGTCTAATATTCGTGCAGGGCTTGTAAGGACGCGAAAATAAGATCCAGAATACTTGCTAAATTAGAGATGCATCCCATGTTAACTCTCCAGAAAATAACCGAAGAGTGTCAGCACATTGTTAATCTTAAACTCGATACCGCAAGTATTGAGAAAAGAGACATTTCACACGTACATAACGTCCAACCATTTAAAAAAAAAAAGAAAGATTATAAGCCTTTTTCAATACCTAATGCTTGTCACGGTTGTCGAGGTAAACATTTCAAAAGTAATTGTTTTTTTTAAGAACAAAAATGCTACGAATGTGGAAAGGTTGGACACAAAAGTACTCATTGCAAATACAAAAAAAAAAAAAAATGAAAAAAAATAGAAGAACGATTTAAAAAAATAAATAGAAGAACGATTGTAAACGTGGTAAATCCACTGTGTAAAGTCAATAAACAAAGGAAAAACTAACAACAAAAACTCGAACATGTCTGAGCTAGAAACTTCTCAAAAGAAGAAATTTGTTTTTGTCAAAATTAATAATGTAAAAATAAAACTACAACGGGATACAGGATCTGATATAATCCTTATCAATGAACAGACATAGAGAAAAATGCGTAAATCCAGGTTATAAACTTCTGGAAAATTTGCTCGTTGAGTTACAGAGAAGAAATTGTGCTTTATGGGTGAATTCACCTGTAACATTTCTTTTATTGATAAAACTAAAAAAAGCGATTGTGCTTTATTTACATTATTCTGACTATTGTCCTCATCTTTGTCGCCATATTTATTTTAACATTTCGGCCGTTGTACGCTCCGGCCTTCTTCAGGTGGTTGGATATATCGAACTGAACCCTTTATTTCGCTCACTGGGGTAGACTGTTCTAATTCCACGTGCCATGTTTTTAATGGATGTCAATTATCAGTTATCTCCTGTTAATTCCCCTTTGCAAGTTCTCCACTGCCTTAACCGGGTATTGAACTCACACTCTTTCGGTCCTGTCACTGGATCTAACTAACGCCTTTATCGATTGTGCCATGTGTCCTTGAGGACACATGGCACAGTGGATAAAGGCGTTAGTTAGTCTACCCCAGTGAGCGAAATAAAGAGTTCAGTTCGACATCCCAACCACCTGAATAAAGCCGAAACGTTGTAATAAATATGACGACAAAGATGAGGACAATAGTCCGAATAATGTAAATAATGTACATAATACCTCATTTCAGAAATATAGACAGATACTGAAAGGTCGAAACGTTGTAATAAATATGGGGACAAAGATTAGGACAATAGTTCGAATAATGTAAATAGTGTACATAATACCTCATCTCAGAAATATAGACAGATACTGAAGGGCCGAAACGTTGTAATAAATATGGCGACAAAGATGAGGAAAATAGTCGGAATAATGTAAATAGTGTACATAATATCTCATCTATGAAATATAGACATATAGCGATTGTGCTTGTATTAAAGAATATAGCAAATTTATTAAGAACAGATTGGATTGCATTGTTTGATTTATGGGAATAGGAGGCAGATAAATAATGCTACAATTTCTAAGCATTTTCAGAATAACAGCGTGTCTGGAATGTGGCCTGCAGAGTTGATGTTCGCTTGGGAAATTAAGTCCATATTTAATCAATTACTATCAGGACGTAAGGCGACAACATCAAGAAACAACATTAATATAATCAAATATTTAAAAGCTGGAGATAAAGTGTTTTTTAAAATGTATCAACGTAGAAAAGAAGTCTAGGTAGACGGGAGACGGATTGGCAAAATAACCTACATGATACAGGGACAAAGGTGGGAACATAAGCGACACCGTAATCAGTTAAAACGAATATTCACTGATTTAGTAAGGCTACGAAAAGAGGTACTTATGGAAACATTGTATGATATGTCCAACCTACCAAAAATTATTGAACCAAGGATTTGCAGTAAGAAAAAAGAATATTTAAATACTGAACCAAAACTGAAGAAATATAGACTCCAGAGAAGTCAACTGAAAGGGGATGTGTCACATATGAATGAAAAGTGTCACTGCTAACACCAGAGTTTGAACATGAATCTCTAGACAATGGAAACGTAGACTGCCATTTACTATAGATAGAGAAATCATGCCAGTGACTGAGAGGTTACAATCACGTTTTTGACTATTGTCTTAACCCGGATGTTAGAGTCAAGTGTCCCGTGTTTCAAGACGAATTAGTACTCTACCTAGCAGCTCTACAGAGTCGTGTATTAGTAATCAATAATCATTCCAATGGATCTTTACTTTTTTGTTGTTAATGTATTTAATTGCGTTTGGTAATTACGTACTTTATTATTTACATTGAAGCCTTTCTGTTATTACTTGTATTATGTACGTGTGACTGATTACAAAAAATATTTTCTGGTTTGAAATAACCTGCAAAAGGTTGATAAGCCGTAAAAACAAATCAATCAATAAACTTATTAGTGAACATTCAGTATTCTTTGAACAAACTGTTAGCGTTACTGTCGCTTAAAATTTATAAAATCTTTCTCTTAAAACAGTTTTTTAGGAGGACAGAGTTCTCAAATCCACAAGCTGTTATCGTTCTTTCTAGTACTGATGGCGGTTTCTGATGGTAGTATGGAAAGTCAACATCTTGATCATGTAATTATTTTCTCTTTGAGTTACATGTGCTAGTCTTCAAGTGATGTGTTTTCTCTTATTTTGGTAAAGTTCTTTGTGGTTTTGTAGCGAGATCTCTACGAAATCCGACGAAAGACAATCCTTTGCAAGACCCACAGGATTCATTCGCTGGAGTGGAAGGTATTTTAAACAATGATCTGAGAGCTGAGAAAGTGAGAGCTGAGTTATATATAAGCTGGTAGGTGAGACCTTTCTTAACAAGTATGGCGTCACGCATGACAGTCATAATGCGAATCACGACCTGACGAGGCTATTTATAAACTTGACTCTCGAGGTTTTAGATTAATGTTTGGTTTTGTAGCATCTCGTGGTGTAGGATGAAAATTTCCCAAGTGCAGTATATCCTGCTTTCAATTTCCTTAACTCCTAAATTAAATTTGCTATAACTGATCCATGCTGTGAGATAGAGTTTATTAATCGCACATTCTGAATATTTATGCTCACAATAAACATATTGGATGAATATCTACTTTACTTTTCGGACCACAGCTCGTATATGTTGATCCATTTTTTTTTTACTTATTCTCACAATATTTTGTGTTTGAAATTGTGACCCAGATTTTTTTTTTATCTTGGGGTTCACTCATGGTTTACTGTTTTGAAGCGATACGAAAATAATCCAAAAATATAAATTGATTTTATCTGTAACTTTCTCTCTTATTTTTTTTGAATGCAAGTTTGATATTTTCCTAACCCTTACAAATAATAGATATAAATGAACAGAGATGGATAATTAGTTAGATAGATAAATATGAAGTGAATGAACTAGATAGATAGATAGATAGATAGATAGATAATGAACAGACTGAGATAGATAGATAGATAGATAGATAATGAACAGACTGAGATAGATAGATAGATAGATAGATAGAGATAATGAACAGACTGAGATAGATAGATAGATAGATAGATAGAAATAATGAAGTGAGACTGAAGATAGATAGATAGATAGATAGATAGATAGATAGAATGAACAGACTGAGATAGATAGATAGATAGATAGATAGATAATGAACAGACTGAGATAGATAGATAGATAGATAGATAGATAGATAGATAGATAATGAACAGACTGAGATAGATAGATAGATAGATAGATAGATAGATAATGAACAGACTGAGATAGATAGATAGATAGATAGATAGATAATGAACAGACTGAGATAGATAGATAGATAGATAGATAGATAGATAATGAACAGACTGAGATAGATAGATAGATAGATAGATAGATAATGAACAGACTGAGATAGATAGATAGATAGATAGATAGATAATGAACAGACTGAGATAGAGATAGATAGATAGATAGATAATGAACAGACTGAGATAGATAGATAGATAGATAGATAGATAATGAACAGACTGAGATAGATAGATAGATAGATAGATAGATAGATAGATAGATAGATAGATAGATAGATAGATAATGAACAGACTGAGATAGATAGATAGATAGATAGATAATGAACAGACTGAGATAGATAGATAGATAATGAACAGACTGAGATAGATAGATAGATAGATAGATAGATATGAAGAGAATGAACTAGATAGATAAAGAACAAATTAAGGTAGATAGATTTGGACAGACTGAGATAGATAGCTATGAAGCTATGACAGCCTTCGTCGTCCATTAGTTACACACACACACACTCTTCCCCCCTCTCTCTCTCATTCTATAGGCGTTATCTTTGTTTTCGTGTACTCTCAGGAATAAAACTGTCAGTGGAGATAAGGAATTTCCGTTATTAGTTCCTTGTAGTTTTTTAATGATTTAAAAAAAAAAAAAAAAAGAAGATAAATAATAATAATAATAATAATAATAATAATAATAATAATAAGCTGTAGAAGTGGAATTGGTAACGGCCGACAAGAATGAAGGCAAAGATTAGACGGCGACAGGAATGTGTTAGGTTTGTAGACATTTCAACGCTTCAATTGTTCTCCTAAATAGTCAATGAGATTATTTAAAACCAACTATTTTAAGAGGCCAATCAACGCATCGTTTTCTTTCCTTCTAATTTCATTAATTTCTTTCGATATGCCTATTTTTTTCTAGGGCGTTCAGGCGGTCGGTAGGACGATCTATTTATCTCTCTCTCTCTCTCTCTCTCTCTCTCTCTCTATCTATCTATCTATCTATCTATCTATTCATGTCTATTCCAGTCTGTTCATATCTATTTATTCATGGCTATCCCAGTCTGTTCTTATCTATCTATTTATTCATGGCTATCCCAGTCTATTCACATCTATCTATCTATTCATGTCTATCTCAGTCTGGTCATATCTATCTATCTATCTATCTATCTATCTATCTATCTATCTATCTATCTATCAAAACTTTCCAACGCCTAATGCTATGCATCAAGTTGTTCAATATAGCATTGTTAATTAAAAACTTGACTGTTTTTATTTTCTCAATATATTTGATGGATATTTTAATCTAAAATTATATATGTTATACTTATTTTTCTGTAAAACTTTTATTCCACTCCGTTAATCTTTTAGGACGTTTATCGAGCTAATATTACTTGTATTATATGAATTCAATGTAGGCAATAATAAAATCAGGCATATAAATTTTTAGATAATGCTCTGATGAAATTAACAGTAAAAATGCCAAAATAGAGTTTAGTTTAGTTGTTTTATTTTAATTATTATTCTGTGACGGTTATTTTCTGGCGTCATACTGTTGCTTTTAATATACATCTGTCTTGAGAGCGCCATATATTTTACGATTGTTTAAGTAAGCACCGTGACTTAGAGCAATCTGGGATAAAACAAGAACTAACCAAAAAAGCAAAACGTAAAACTAAAAGCGATTAGCAAGAATAACTCGATAATACTCGAATTAAATGATGAACAAATCAGTCGTAAATCTATAATGAGAGTTTCAGGTTTATTCTCCCATTGGTATTCCTCATTATGAGCATTATTATATCTGCAAAGAGTTGATAAGCTGTAGAAAACGATTTATATTTTGATTGCTAAGAAAGAAGGAAGACACTGTTTGGGAAGAAAAGAAAAGGAAATAAAGAAAGGGGAGATATAGAAAGCAATAACATTCTCATGTGTTTAATAGGAAACCTTGTCAGTCTGGGATATTTTTATTTGTACCCTCTTACTTTTTAAATAATGATATTCATATTTATGATTGTCGTTGTAATATCTTGTTAAAAATTTAAGCAGAAAGGAAATGGGTGAAATTCCATGGCTATTTTATGGTCATAGAACTTGCATAATAATAGTTAATTATTAACTTAAGAATTAGGATTCATTAAAAAATTAAAATAGTAAAAACCATAATGTTAAGACATTAGTGGCAATGGTTTTGTAACGGGAGGAAGCTATGGTAGAAAGATTTATTCCATCTTTTGTATTTCCCCCATTATGGGCATTATTATTGCCATGATATAATAACACTGTAATTCACGGATGGAACAGAATGGCTGAAATGAAAAAAAATGACAAACATACGTTGTACTCAGAGAGACTTTTATATCACTAAGACACACAAACTATACATTATACAGCAAATTAACCCAATATTTTGTTGTTCCCATTTGCTTTCATGCTTCTTATTTTAATATAAGCCTTATTATCATCTTAATTTATTATTTTTTTATGCCCAGTTCAAGGCTCGTGAGCCATTCAAGGTAGTGCATTACTGCTAAAACGGTTATGATGAATGAGGTGTGATATGAATGTAAGAGTTTTTGATAGGATGTAATGATTATGAAGATAAAGAGGATATATTAAGAATTGACCCTTGATTGGAACAGGTTAAGATTGCAGCATTTATACAGGGTATGGTAGAAATACCTCCTACATACGGGTAAGACATTAGTGGCAATGGTTTTGTAACGGGAGGGAGCTATGGTAGGAAGATTTATTCACCCATTTGAATTTCCCCAATTATGGGCATTATTATAGACATGATATAATAACACTGTAATTCACGGATGGAACAGAATGGCTGAAAGGAAAAGGAATGACAAATATGCTTTGTTCTCAGAGAGGCTTTTATATCATTAAGACATACACAAAACTATATATATATATATATATATATATATATATATATATATATATATATATATATATATATTACAAGTGTCCCACGTAGAGAAAATATAATATATCTACACGGCAAGCAGAGCGAAAGGAGAACGAAAAGATATAGTTTTACGTATAATATGGAGATTCTTCTGTGTTTCTGGATAAGACGCGTTTAGGACTCCAGTTCAAACGGGCCGGATTCATCTACTATATTCGAAACGAGAACATTCCACGAACTGGAAACGGCTAGTCTTGGGTTTTCCCAAATTGAGCACTGCTAGCCGTAGATTTCTATATGTGGGGAAGATATATTCCCAAAGGGAAACGGCACTATGGTCTTATAAACTGCTGGGGTGGGGGAAAGAAAAATTTAGCCTCAGCCCTGGCCTCTTGACCTGGGTTAAAAAAAAAATAGTAACTACTCGATTTGGCTACCATATACTGAATGGGTAACCGACTATTTTCGTCCCTGTATGAAGTGACGTCACTAAACGACCGTCACGTGACCATCTCGACCAAAGGGAGATAATCATCTTTTGTATCCTTAAAAATGTATTATTATTATTATGTTTGTTTGTATATATGGTAGTTATATCTTTGTACCTAAGATCAAAGCATAGCATCTGTGTCCAATCCCGTGCCTTTCTTATCTGTATATTATTCTACTTAGTAACAGAATGTGACATATGCCTGATCCTTGGACATTCTGAACTGGAATCAATTACGCTTTCTAACTGAGAAACATGGATAATAATATATATAAAGCGAGTGGAAGGAGGAGAGGAGAAAGAGGAAAGGTAGGAGGTAAGAAAAATAGAAAAAGAAAAGAAAACATTTTTGAAAACGGGAAAAAAGATGAGAAGATAGGAGACAAAAACGGAAACAAAATGGCCGACTAGGCACCAAGAAATAATGAATGAAAGATTGAAAAGCAAGTAAAGATGGAAAATAATTTGTGATGCATTAAAATAGTTGAAGGAGCAAAAGAATGACAAAAGAAAGGTTGCTGTAAAAATGTTTGCTTAATCCTTATTCGTTTTTTTCTTGCATGAATCTGATATTGTCTACGTAACATATGGCCTCAGTCAGATTTTTACAAAAACATGGAAAGTTCTTTTCAAATACTTATTTGTATCCATTGCTAAAGATGCTGGGGAAATGGTTGGCACATTCTATTCCCCCAGAAAAATACCCAACTCCTTCTGCCATAAAAATCGAATAGGTTTCTGTTTCAAGAAGTTGGTATTTACACTGTATGCATTTGGGCTATTGTCCTCATCTTTGTTGTTATTATCACCTGATCACCTTCTGTCTGAATTTCTGGGATGTATCATGAATTTCTGGGAAGAGGATCTTTTGTTATCATTATTTGAATTTCTGGAATGAGGAGTTATCTATTTATATTCGGACTATTGTCCTCATCTTTGTTGTTATTATCACCTGATCACCTTCTGTCTGAATTTCTGGGATGAGGATTATTTATCATTATTTACACTATTTATATTCGGACTATTGTCCTCATCTTTGTTGTTATTATCACCTGATCACCTTCTGTCTGAATTTCTGGGATGAGGAGGTATCATTATTTACACTATTTATATTCGGACTATTGTCCTCATCTTTGTTGTTATTATCACCTGATCACCTTCTGTCTGAATTTCTGGGATAAGGAGTTATCATTATTTACACTATTTATATTCGGACTATTGTCCTCATCTTTGTTGTTATTATCACCTGATCGCCTTCTGTCTGAATTTCTGGGATGAGGACTTATCATTATTTACACTATTTATATTCGGACTATTGTCCTCATCTTTGTTGTTATTTTCACCTGATCGCATTCTGCCTGTATTTCTGGGATGAGGAGTTATCATTATTTACACTATTTATATTCGGACTATTCTCCTTATCTTTGTTGTTATTATCACCTGATCGCCTTCTGTCTGAATTTCTGGGATGAGGAGTTATCATTATTTACACTATTTATATTCGGACTATTGTACTCATCTCTGTTGTTGATATCATAATGTTTCGGTCGTTTTGCCCTCCGACCTTCCTCAGGTGTATGTCGATCTGAGTAACCTACTGAATCCTTTATTTAATCTGCAGGGTAGACTATTGTCGTTTCACTGCTCATATCTTAGGATATCACGTCTAGTTCTTATTTTTCGTACTGCTCAGCAATTGCTCGCTCTGTATTCACTGAGTCCGAAGTACAAAATTTAGTGTCAATACCCCAGTGGATTAAAGCGCTGGTTCGTGAATTTAGGGTCATAATAATTGTGAGTTCAATCCCTGTGTCGGGCATTTTATTCTTTAACTATTCATCTATTTTTAGTCAGCCAAAATATCTCTGGGATTTCTAGCTTTACATCTCTCTTTCTTTCTCTCGATCTGCCAAACTATCTCTCTCTCTCTCTCTCTCTCTCGACATCTATTTCAGTATCATATATAACCATCTTTTTATGTCAATCTGTCTCTCTCTCGCTTCCATTTCTCTCAGTTGCCAAACACTTTCTCTCCTTTATATATATATCTGAGCCTGCCAAACTCTCCATCTCTCTCTCTCTCTCTATATATATATATATATATATATCCTTTACATCTATCTTTCTCAGTCTGCCAAATTTTCTCTATACAATTCTTTCGCTCTCGGTCTGCCAACCCCACCTCTCTCACTCTCTCTCTCTCTCTCCCCCTCTCTCTCGCTTTACATCTGTAAAGCCTGCCAAACTCTGGGCCTGCCAAATTCTCTCCCTTTCTCTCTCTCGGTCTACCAGATTCTCTCTCTCTCTCTCAGTTTGTTAAAGTCTCTCTCTTTTTTCATCTGTTTCATTCAGTCTATCAAACTCTTTTTCTTTCTCTCTGCAAACTATCCACCTTTACACTTCTCTCTCTCTCTCTTTTTCTCGGTCTGACAAACTCTTTCTCTCTCTTTTTTGGTCTACTAGATTCTCTCTCTCTTTTTTTTACATATTTCAGCTCTCCCTATTTCTTTCTCTCTGTCTGCGAAACTATCTCTTATTTTTACACAACTCTCTCCCTCTTTTTCTCGGTCTGTGAAACTCTTTTTATCTCACTCTCTTCTTAATTATTTATATGCCTATCTATTTATCTTACTGCCTTACACTGTCTTTAGTCTGGTACCCATTTTTTTAAATTTTCATATCAAACTGTCACGTGACTATCAAATTATTTTACTTTAAAAGCTCAATGGAAAACACTGTTTTCCAGTGAAATACTTTGAAAGGTTGGGATGGTCAACCTTAAAATTGGGAGTAATTTTGTGCCTGACCCAAATCGTTAAATACATATGTAAGTTAATCCACTTCCAGAAAAGGCAAGTCACCAATAATAACTGTTGACCTATTCCTTTTATTATTAGTAGCTACAGTTTTATCAATGAACGAAAGAGGCGACTTACAGATATGGCATAGACAGAGAGGGCGGATAAAAATAGTGGTTAAATAGCAGAAGCAGCCAAAACAAGCATGTCTGTTTTACTTAATGAGATTTAAAAGAATGAAAGCTGTGCTTCCCTTCATAAGGGTAATTGAGTCTTGCTTCGCCATAAAAGTCCTTCGTGGTTTTCCCCCGCAGGAAGGGAATGCAGGTTCGAACAAGTCCTCTTTATGAAAGACTCTCGAAAATCCATGCTGGTAGACGACAATTACACTGATGAAAAAAGACGTCTGCGCAAATACCTTTATTCACTAAATATAGCGTTTATAGCAGGCTTTCCAACCTGCGAGATATTGCCCACTGGTGGGCGATTTCAACTGTTGGGCAGACGACGAGCAACTAAAAGAAAATGGTGGATGATTGGAAATTTTGTTGACCGATATCGGATATTGAGTATTACATTGGTATTTCAACATATACTACTCGAAAAAATATTCAAAAAAATATGGAAACAGACGGTATATATATATATATATATATATATATATATATATATATATATATATATATTTCGGTTGTTCTTTAATACGGTAGTAGGACATAAGTTAGCGTTATTTGTTACCTCCTTTTGGCATTTTTTGATTACATGATAAAATGAGTTTATTAACCAGTAACAAACTATTACCAAACAATTTTGGCATACTTTTGAATATTTACTAAACAGGTGGGGGGGTAGAAAAATTTTCCATGTGAAAATAGGTGATGGCGTATAAAAGTTTGGGGATACTTAGCTTATAGTAAAGAAGTAATGTCGGACTATAAATTGTAATTGTCTATCCTAAAAAAAGAACAAAAAAAAAAAAAAAAGAAAACAACACTAAACCAATTGAGTTTCTTCTTTTCAGGTTTTCAGATAAGACGTTTAGTCGTCTTTAGACCATTTGACCTAAGAATCACTGAAAAGTCCGTTGTGTTATGCAGCTTAAAAAAGATCAGGTTAAAATCGTTTTCTGTCAGTCACACTATGTTTTCAAAACTTAGCAATGGTGAGAGGAAAAAGATCATTCTGGCCTTCAGAATGGTACAAACATTCATACTCTGGCTAGCATCTTCAAATTTCATTCAAGAACCAGCAAAAGAATAGTGAATAATTTAACAAAGAGGGGACAGTGAAGAGGAAAACTGGGCCAGAAGGTCGCAACAGGAAGAGGGATCATCATTTCAATTTAGAGCTGAAGAGATCAATTAGAAAAGATCCAACTCAATTTGGCACATGAGAGAGGAGTTTCAGTTATAATAGTCCAAAGAGCAGTGAAAAAAGACTTGAAAATGAAATCGTACATGAAACCTGTGAGGTACGTTGTAACTACAGGACAGAAGGTTAGAGGGCGAACATAATCTTGAATAAGTTGAAAAATGATCCTGGAATATGATATCTATATCTATATATATAGAGAGATAGATAGATAGATAGATAGATAGATAGATAGATAGATAGATGTGTGTGTGTGTTTATATATATATATTTGAACTTTATTTAAATCCTTAATGTGCTTCCGATTCTTAGCTATGATTAATTAATGATGAACATGTCATTTTCTTCTGTTAAGCTTGGAGTGTAATTATACATTCTTATTGCTCAAAGTAGAATCCAATCGTGTTAGAAAAACCTCGCAGAGAATTCCAGTAAGATATCTTTAATCATTTCTAAAATACTATGGTTCAAAGCTTAATGTAACAATTAGACAATTTTGCTGTTACATCCGGTATATATATATATTAAATATAGCACATCTTAAGACTATATTTCTTCATATATATATATATATATATATATATATATATATGAAGAAATATAGTCTTAAGATGTGCTATATTTATGGAATAAAGTGCTCAATATTAGAGATAGAGCGT